AATTAACGCCATTTTACCGGCGGCAGTTGTGAGGCTCTGATTGGTAACTTCATTATACACTATAATTTTTTAAATTTTAATACTAATCTCTTTAATAATGCTTCCAAAGGTTAAAATCATACCATAAATATTACTCATATAGTTGGAAGTGAATCTATGATATTCTTAGTTTTTCATTCACTACTTAATGTTATAATAAAAAAATATTACATGTATATTAGACCACATGTTCTTTTGCTGTGCTAATTTTTAATAAGTTGCTAATTGTTGTTAGTTAATTGATTGTTTATACGATATTACCATATAATGTCCATTTACTTGAGCTTACTCACATACTTTTTTAATATCATTGACTGCTACATGTCTTTTTAAGGTAACACTTGTAACATCTTTTCCATATTGTGTGGTTCTCATATTGTACTTTTTAGATGAACTGATGATGCTTTCAGAATACGAAAGCAAACCGTCTTCAAAATAAATAAAGTAGACTATCAATTTTGTCTTTTTATTTCTCCACCTTGAGACCGATATAAGAACCGATATATATATATATATATATATATATATATATATATATATATATATATATATATATCCGATATATATATATATATATATATATATATATATATATATATATATATATATATATATATATATATATACATGGAGTTAATGCAGGATCTTAAATCTTCGGAGAGAAATTTTTTTATAGATAACTTCTATAAGTGTATGTCAAACTATGCGAGGACCTCTTAACCGAAGCTACATGTGTCTGTGGCACTTTACGAAGTAATAGGAAGGGGAATCCTAAATATGTATGCGCTAAAAAGCTAAAAAAGGTACATATTTACAACGAGCAGAACGAAAATGGGGTTCGTGTTTTAAAATGGGTAGATAAGCGGTAAGTACTAGTAATAAGTACTAATAAGAAGTACTCTTCGATCAATGTGTGCTGCCGGTTCTAACCTATGGTGCGGAGACGCTAACACTTACTAAGACGTCCGCAAACAAAATCCGAACAACACAGAGGGCAATGGAACGGTCCATGTTGGGATTAACCCTGAGAGACCGAATACCCAACACAGAATTGCGCCGTAGATCGGGAGTAACCGACGCAATCAAAAGAATATCAACCTTAAAATGGAACTGGGCAGGGCACGTCGCGAGAACGAAGGACGGCAGATGGACAAAACGCATTCTTGAGTGAAGACCCAGACAAGATGCCTTTAGGAATAGAGGACGACCACCAACAAGATGGACGGATGACCTGAAACGGACACATCAAAATTGGATGCAGGCGGCTCAGGACAGAAATTTGTGGGGTGAACTACGGGAGGCCTATTTTCAGCAGTGGACGAGTATGGGCTGAATGATGATGATGACTAATAATAAGTACTGTACCACATCACACTAATCAACAGATTCCGAGTAAACGTAAAACCGACAAGGTGAAGAACTACAAGACCGCCGCTACCATTGATTACAATCAGGCCAAAAAAGGAGTTGACAGTTTAGATCAGATATTACACATGCCTCCGAAAAACTCTGAAGTGGTATAAGAAGCGTATTTTTGAGATTATTTTCGAAACACGTGTTGTTAATGCATGGGTAATACATAGCTCTCACAACCAAGCTAAAAACAAACTTGACATGCTAAGATTTTGAAAAAAACTTATACAAGGATTGCTATCCGATACATAAGAAAATGCCACTGAAGAAATAAGAGATGTTCATGATGTTCCATGTCCGAGAAAACGAAGTAGAAGTAGGCTAGGCTAGGGAAATATGAATGAAATGCGAGAAAAGGCATTAAACGATGTTTTAATTGCTATAAAATGCTTAAAGATGAAAAAGGTAGACAAGTGGCATCGGCAAAAGCAAGTAAGATATTTACATTTTGCGAAGACTGTTAGACTGTAAGAATGTTAGTAGAATTATTTGTTATTGTTTGAGATTGGTTACCACAGCCACGGTGGGATGTAATATTAAAATGTGTTTTATTGCCTAAATATTATGTTATCTACTACCTTCATTTAAAAATAAATTATTTTTTTTAATACCAATTTAAGTTTAGTCATTTTTTCCTTTACTTATATCATTGTTTTTGGAGAGAAAAACAAGACGTCTTAATGTTTAAGTCAGTTTAAGTTAAGTTTTTAAATCATTCTGATACGTAAAATATACTTTTTTAGACTTTAAGTGTTTTTATTGCTTACACAATTCCTTTCCGAACACTACGGTGAATATAGACATATATATCATTCCTGCAGCCGTCACTGCAGTATTATATTCCCCAGAATAAACTGTACAATTTTACGTTGAATAACATAATATGCAACAGACCGTGACTCACAAGTAGGCGCGCACGGCTCTGGGCAAGAAACGGTGTGACCCACCGGTGGGTCACATTGTCAAGAAGGTGTTTACGAATAACTAAGAAATTACAGTATATCTAGGTACAAGCAACTAAAGTATTTCTATAATATGTTTGGGTATAACATGCAACAACTTAAACTTACTAATTATCAATGTTTTATTATGCAATTTGCAATTTGTTAAATTTTGCAATGGATTGTATATTTTATTATCTTTAATTTTGTTATATAAACGATTTATGTAATTTTAGTAAATTTTAATTGGTGTTGTTATTTTTTTTTACTTTTTGTATGTTTTGTCGATAAAATTGTACAATTTTCAGAGAAAATAGAGCATATTTCTACTCTATTCTATCCAAAAACGGAAAAAATTATTCTATACATTCCGTAAATTCTCTATCTATTATGTATACAAAAAAATATTCTAAATTACGTTTATAAAAATCCTTGAAAATATTTATAGCTAGCAACAGTTTCTCCGCAAGCTGCCGGTAAAACTCCACTTGTTAAGCGAATTCCTTATCTGTATCGGACTGTTATGACTTGCAATACTCCATGACTTTGCAACTTGGTAAATAGGGTATATTAACCAATTATAACTATCTTTCACAATTTGTTGAATGCAATAGATCGACTATTATTTCAATTATACACAAAACTTGACTACCAATGGTAAACAATAAATTTCATATGTTCGTATTAGCTATCGGAAGCAACCAAGCGTTCTTTTTAATAAATATTCACGAATCTAACAACTTATTTGACTCGCTATAATAAAATTATTGGGTCATAAATAAAACGAGGAAGTATTATAGGTAAGATACCAGAACTAGGCATTATAAAAATTTTAAAATTTAATTCCCCAAATTTGACCTAACCTAGAAGTTTAAATGGCGAAAAAAGGGTTCTTACAACTGAGGACGCAGCGTTTATATCATCATCATTCTGGCTTTACAACCCTGCGTGTGTCTTAGCCTCCTCAAGAATTTCTCTCTAGTCGTCTTTATCCATGGCCTTTCTCCGCCAATCACGTATTCCCATTCACCATGCACATATCCGACAGTATTTATAGTAGAGCATTCTTTCAATTCATTGGTAAATGGACGAAACAATAGTTCAAGTTTGAAACAAATGTCTGAAAAATATGCAAGTGTTTAACAACCCTACTTCAGAAATATTGAAATTTTAGCAATCGTTGAGAAATTTCGTAACACAATTAGTACGTTGTGTCTGCGCAAGGACCGTTCCAGTTATCTAAAAATAGTTCTAACCAACAATAATCAAGGACGCGTTTTCAATCAGATCTTACAGTCTGCCAAACGAAGACTTCGACGCGCTGCGTATAAACTAGATGTCAGTAAAACATTCACACATCGACTGTTTAAATCTTTAGTGTTTACCCTTACTATATTTAAATTGGACAAAGATACAAAGAGACAAATAACGTGACAAACAAACGTCCAAGAGAAGTTTACTGTAGATGACTGTTAAGTTGCCGATTTTTTAAGAAGTGTATTGTTTTATAACTAAAATCACATTTACCTTAACTGTTATATCGAATAAATAAACAACTCAATTTCTTGGATTTAAACGCTGAGGTATGATCATAGGGAAACCATTCCACAGTGAACGCATAACCATTTGGTATGCATCATAATGTCATGGGATTATTGGTCTTTATTTTGATAAAGATGAGAACAAGCCTTCAGTTACTGTTAACCAAGAGCGTTACAGAGAAAACATTATTACACTCTTTGTTAGAGATTTACGAAATTTTTGCGGTGCACAAGATCTGCAGAAGTATAAGCAATGGTTTTAACAGAAGTTCTCATAAGTTCCGTTAACGATATTAAAAAGCTAGAAGAAAAGATAAAATCCTGTGTTCAACAACTATAGCATTAGCAATTGCGCACATTTTGAACAGGTACGTTATGAAAATTAAAAAGTAAATCAGTGTTCACTTTTGGTATTTTGCTTATTTTAGCGAATACTGTATTTATCTTAGTATCTCAAAAAGTTACCAATAAAATTAAAAAAAAAAACAAATACAATTGATAAGATAAACAAATAACTTTTAAAATTACTCCGGCAGCTGGATAATGTTCGCCTAAATGCATAATGTTGACAAGTGCCAGCCCGCCGAGTGTCTTTTGATTCTGCAAGGATAAAAATTCATTTTTTCGATAGTAAATTGTCAAAATAGTTTTAAACTTGTTAGTTATGTGCAACTAGTAGAGAATTATGCACCATGTAAAAAATTACGAGGTTTCAAATTTAGGCTAAATCTTCGATTTCTCGACTTAAAATATTAAATAATTTTTAAACTGTTAACTTTTTATATAACATATAAAAAATTCGTATTCAGCAAAACATTTTACTTAAGATAAAATTATCCACCTTTTTATGCACACAGAAAGATACCCAGCTGCCAGACTAAATGATAAAATGATGAAATATAGCATTCAACAAATAAAAATTGATGAGTTCTAGCGTTTTATTTTTTGTAATTTTAGCATTTATAACAAAGAGCTCTAGAGACTAATGGTATTCTTAAATAATAAAAATTAAAAATGTATTCTGTTTCACTGTGGAATTATTTATTATAAGATTAGTTGGTAATACCTGCCAAAACTGCTACAAGTTGGGGAAACGTTCCCTTAAATATATTCTCTTTTGATGTCACAGTCATCGCTTTAGGATCTTTTATTTCATTTGCTGTATCGTTTGTTGACCTTAAAATTAAATTTTTATTAGAAAAACTAAATATGTATAGTATATGTTTTATTATATTGAAAAAATAGCAAATATAAATTTTTAAAGTGATAAAAAGCTATCATAAAAAATATGTTTTTAAATGCAAACAATATGATAACCTTTATCATTTTATAATACATCTAAGTCTGTAAGTATATAGTAAGATCATGAATGTGATATATAGTAAGAACTCAACATGGTTGATATTTAAGTTATCCATTGTATAAAACATCAAGATTATAAGTAAACTGCTAATTTTAAAGCACGACTAGCATAAGTTACTAGATTCAAAGGGAAATTAATAATAGATCAAAACGGAAAATTAAATGGAAATAAATTACCGGCTTCGTTTATATTATGTCGACATATTCTGAGTGTTGGGATATTTTATAAAAATAAACAAATAATTCGAGGGAACTAAGTCTTTGAAATAAAATGTAAACGTATATTTTTGATGCCCAATAAAATAATAATCCTTAAATAGACAATATCATTATTTAAATATAAATTACTGGTTAATAATTTCCTAACTTTAAATAAGAACGCCATTTTGTTCTGCCTAATGAGAATTAACTAAATTTTTAATTTTATCACTGACTTAATGCTTTCTCATTTAGTGATTAATCTGGAAGGATTTACCAATAGAAAGAAGATCCTTAGAACACAAATATTGGTCCACAAATACCATGGAAAGATAGATTTAAACAGAGCTACCCACCGCTCAACTATAATGGACGACCGTGGGAAATGGAAGCACGTTATGCAGTTAGTCAAGACCCTCCACAAATTGTACTGCTACAAAAACTTTACAAAATTTTATATACAACGATTTAATTGTTACATAATGCAGCGAAGTATTTGACCCAACAGATACTATTCAATACAACTTATGACCTCTACAAACAGCAAAATGGTGCCACACAGTATTGGTAAGGTATGGTAACATAATAAAATAGAAATAATATAGAAATATCTTTTATAGTCAGTGTTTGAAGTTATAAATTAGACATAGTGCCTTCAATCCTACCCAATCTAGCCTAGGATATATTGTAAAATAAAACTGAAGGTAAATTTTTATAACACCCAATATATAACAAAAAATTCCTAAATTACGGAGGACCATATCTGACTAAACAACTACTAAAACTAATCTAAAAATAATAGAACAAAAAAGAATAGCACAAGCATGAAGATCAAGCATCCTAATACCTCCGTTCAAAAATGGATACAAATCGGACCCGCAAAGTTACGTTACCTGATACGGAAAGGACTCAAGGAATGTTTAAAACGGCGGAGATGAAAACTCTGAGAACTTAGAAAAATTAATGGTAAGACACAATGAGACAAAGCTAAAAGTACAGATATAGGACGTAGATGTAAGGTAGAGAATATTAAGGACTGGGTAAGAAATAGTATAGTAGAATGGAACGATTATATAAGAACAAAAAATACAGTAGTAAATACATTTTAGGTTGTACATTTTAGGAGACTTTAGTGCAAAAATTGGAGTAGGTACAGTTGAAAATATAGTTGGACAGTTCGGACTAGGAACTAGAATCGGTAGAGGAAAAAGGCTCATAGAATTCTGCCAAGAAAAAAATATGGTAATTGCCAATACTTGGTTTGAGCTTCCTAAGAAAAGACTATATACATGGACGTCTCCTTCACATACAGGAAACCACATTGTCAGAAACCAGATAGACTTTATACTCGTAAATAGCAGATACATAAACTTATCCTGGCGCAGATGTTAACTCAGACTACAATCCGTTAGTGGCTGACGTAAAAATAAAATTAAAAAGAATTGAACTCAGAAAACAACAACCAAAAATTAATGTAAGAATGCTACAAAACGAAGAAATAAAAAACGAATTAAAAAATAATGTGATTGTTAATATGCAAAAAAAAATAACTGACAACAAACAAATTATGGATGTATATAAAAAGTGGTATAATATAAAAAAACACATTACTGAAACCAGCTCAAGAAAGTTTGATACAACATAGGTTAGAGGCTAAAAAAGGCAACACTCAGAAGAAATGAAGATCTGTAGAGAAATTAGACAGGAATGTGTTTTATCGCCACTTTTGTTTACCTTATATTTTGAAAAAAATTAACAAAACGGAAAATTAATTAACAACTTACGAGATGCAGACGACACTGTGATCATAGCAACCAGTTTAGAGGATCTACCACATCTTATGGAAAGCTTGAGTATAAATAGTGCTGAGATGGGAATTATTATAAACGCTAAAAAAACGAAGTACATGCTAATTACAAAAAGACCACAATATATATATCACCTATTGACAATCAATGGTACCGTGATAGAACAAGTAGAAAAATATCAGTATTTGAGAACTTTGATCAATGAAATCAATGATCCTGTTGTAGAAATAAACAGGCGAATAGAGATTGTTAGATGAGCATTTATACGAATAAAGCTACTCTTAACGTGCAAAACTCTAAATTTGGAGATAAGACTACACACAATACTCTGTTATATATTCTCAATATATGGAGCTAAGACTTGGAAATGAAAAAAATGCAATTTAAAAAGAATCAAGGCTTTCGAACTCTGCTTATTCTGCAGAGTATTAAAAATATCATGGACTGATAGAATTACAAATAAAGAAGTACTGGAGAAGATTGGTAAAGAAACAAAACTAATCACCACTATTTAAAACCAGAAAACTGGAATACCTAGGCCACGTGATGAAGAATCCAAAATATGAAATTTTTAGACTCATAATACAGGGAAAGATTTAAGATTTGTTGGTCGAAGGGAGAACTCATGGTTAAAGAATATACGTGATTGGTATCAATGCAGATCGATTGATTTGTTTAGAGCAGCAAGTTCTAAACTAAAAATAGCCATTATGATTGTCAACCTCCGTAGGGAGACGGCACTTTAAGAAGAAGAAGACAATAGTAAAAATGGTGAGGGACGGTTTCTCAATAGAAAAACAATCATTAGGAAGACCACGAAAACGATGGAACGACAATTCAATAAAGGCACATTTAAAAAACAGATAGAATGTGCACATAAAAGAAAAAGAGAAAAAGAAGAAGAACACCCTGCTACGACTGTAGTTCCAACGTTTTTTGTGTTAATGATAAACTAACATAAAATCTTATTATCTATTTTTCATAGCCTAGTTGGTCCACCCAAAGCAATTTTTGTTATTTTATAACGTGGCATTAAAAAATACATATAAACTTTAATTTTCGCTCTTCTGTCACCAACTCATATTTTTTAATAGCAATTTTAGTGCAAAAGAGTTAGTTGTCATACTCCTCCGAAACTGCTTGACCGATATTTATGAAATTTTAAATAAGTGATAAAGGTGATACTACGTGAATATTTTTTTTATTTTTGGGACAAATAAACAATACCACCATAGAGATATAATACAAAAAGATTGACTGTTGCAATATAGTTCCCCCATTTCAACAAAAAACACCTTGCAATGCAGTCCCTGCAATTGTTTTTAATTTACCAGGTTTATAGATCACGTGACCTAAATGACCAATCAGAAGGTCACGTAGTCGGTGAACACACAATGAGCCTTCTCTTACTCCGAAAGCTCTAGTTTTCGGCCAGTATTATCCATCGAACATAGGTGTGACGTTCATAGTTATCATTTTACCCTCTTAGTGTAATTCTCAAGACTATTCGACTATTCTTAATTTTCTTTCAGAAAAGTTATTTTCGTTCAAATCAGTCGACACAGGCATCGATCATCAACGAAAAATACAAAGGAAAGGATGTCTTGATCCCGTGTATACCGATGATTCCAATAAACGTAACAATTGGTTTTAAATGAACTTCATGTGCGTTTTACTTTTGCAATGACAATAAACAAATCAAAAAGCCAACCGTTGGAATTTCGAGAAATTAAATTAGAGCTTCCATGTTTCGCGCAATTATTGGCGCGTCGCAAAACTGTCATTGTTGTATATTATTTATGCAATATAAAAAACATAAAAATATTATTTATAATAAAGCAATAAATTAGTTCACTTTTTTCATATATAATAATATGATTTTAATATATAAAAACATGGAAAAAAGAAACAAATGTTTATATTTATGGCATTCATTAATCTGAAGAAAACATCTTGGAGACTCTGGAGAAAAAATAGTCTCTTGGAGACATTTTACGGTAGGCAATAAATAAGTTAGGGTTTACTGGTGAGTTTTTAAAGATTCTAAGGCTATTTTAGAAGAAGAAAAAAAGCAGCTAATCGTGAGTAAGATATAAGAAGGGCTGATGAATTTCATCTTGAGGGTATAGTAAATCCGAGACATTTCAATGTAATAATAAGTCTAGAAACTTGACCTTCTGATGATATGGTTGATTTTAGTAACATATCCTAAAAGGAATTAAATGAACATTGGATAGAGATTGAAAGGTAAAGTTTTAAAAATTAGTAAGAGAATTTCTAGAATATTTATTTAAATATAAAATAAAATGGTAGCTTAGCATGGAAAAATTTTTGTAAATGTAATGGTCTTAGGTAACTAAATTGGTATTACAGAGAAATGGGAAGAAATAGGGATCCGTGCAGCGGAGTTAGAACGATATGGATAAAATGGGAAAAGGCGGGCGTTGTTCAAAGGAACAATTACAATAAATCTAAATGATTAATTTTACATCCTAGGACCAGATATGATATAATGGACTAAAGGTTTTGAAGCTAAAAAAATTAATACCGGATGAATGTTTGTGGAAATAAAATTTATACGAAGGCAATGACAAAAAAGAAAAAAAAATAAGAATAAATTTGTTACAAAAATTATTGGTGTGGCCCACATATAATATATAATCTTAAGTTATGATTGTTAGAGCATGTTCAATGACGAAATAATGGTTAAAAGCGGGAAACAAGTATTGAGCTGAGACGACAGCTGTGTATTTTTTCGCTTTTTTATGTAATATAAAGAAAATGTTTAAAGCCAAAATCTATATGATG